ACGTGCTCAACAAAGAAGGTAGTAGCGCTGTTAAAGTGCATAAATGCGGAAGTTTCGTTTAGCTGGACTTTTGGACTGATGCTTTCTTCCTTTCTCCTGCGTCGGATGCTTTGCATGTCTACAGAATTCCACAGAGCGACAGAAAGCCGTGACCACGCTGCTCACCGGAAGACCCGTCCTTCTCGCGGATCTGGACGTCTAGAATCGACGGCGCAAAGCGCGTGCATGTTCCAAAAAAAGACAGACGACTATCATCAACCTCAAGCTTAAGCGTCTCGCGGCTGTGGCTGCTCCGCGTCAAGACTCTGCTAAGAGCTCTCACCGCAGCATTTGTCTGGACGCCAAAAGTACTGGAGAAGAGCCATCACCGCGGTTCTAGGAAACGCAATGAAGGATTCAGAAGCTTCGAGCAAATTCTGCTTAATTTTGGGTCTTGGATTTGTGGCTGCCACAATTCTCTCAAAACTTTTCAAAACTTCAAATTGAAAAATAGATATGATAGAGAATGGAGCAAAGATGTTGAATTATCAAATTCAGTTGAGTTATAAGTAAAAAAATCTCAGAACACTTAGACAAAAAATTTGGGCTTTGGGACAACGCAACATTCTTCTTGACAAAAATTTGTCTGCAAAAAAAGACGTTTTTTGAATGAATTTCTTGAGTTGAGAGTTTAAATTTAAAAGAAATAAAAAAGGCATCATATGATCATAATTAATGATCAGTTCTCGCTCTGAGACCGGCAGAACAAAGCCATGGGAATCTAAGATCCGTTGGGTGTTTCAAAGTGACAAGTACACAATCAAAAACTAGGTCCACAGCAAACTCGTCCAAAAGATTGTAGATTCTTTTGGCTTCTTGCGGCGGATGTGGACATTTGTTTCCAAAGGTACTTCTGCAAACGACATGTTGCCATCATCGGCTCCATGCGGACACCTCATTGGTCGGCATGTCGGCAGCAAGTTCAATGGCACCTGCGAGCCGTAATCGTTGTAGTAGTCGCAAGAGCAGTAGCAGTAGCAGTCATAGTGGTAGCAATAGTTGTGGTCGTTAGCAGTAGTAGCAGTAATAGTAGTAGTTGTGGTAGTAGTAGCAGTAGTAGTAGTAGTAGTAGTAGTAGTAGTAGTAGTAGTAATAGTAGTAGTAGTAGTAGTAATAGTAGTTCGTAATAGTAGTAGTAGTAGCAGTAGTAGTAGTAGTAGTAGTAGTAATAGTAGTATTAGTCGTGGTGGTGGTGGTGGTAGTAGTAGTAGCAGAAGTAATAGCAGCAGTAGTAGTAGTAGTAGTAGTAGTAGTAGAAGTAGAAGTAGTAGTAGTAGCAGTAGTGGTGGTAGTAGCAGTAATTTTGGTGGTGGTCGCAAAAGGAGTAGTAGTCGTCGTCATAGTAGTAGTAGTAGTAGTAGTAGTAGTAGTAGTAGTGGTAGTAGTAGTAGTAGTCGTCGTGGTGATGGTAGCAATGGTATTCGTGGTGGTGGTAGCAGTAGTCTTCGTGGTACTATTAGTGGTACTACTATTACTACGACGACGACTACTACTCTTACTGTACTACCACCTCACGGTTTTAATGATTGAGATCTTGAATTAGAACCCCCATGAATTCCTTTTTTGCCTTCAATTTGAGAGCGTTTGCTCATGTTTGACGTGGTTCCAATCATTCTAACTCGTGGTTTGGCATCAAGAGAGGAGGTCCCAGAGTTGAATCCGATCCTCGGCCTCCGACCGGAATTTGTTTTGCAATTCTCATTCGTTGAATTCTGTCTCTGAACGACGCTTCAGGTCAGTCAAAGCACCCCCTGTGTTCCGGAATGCCCAGGACAAATTTGTCCTGCCACCAGTGGATGCCATCGGGCTTTTGTTGTGGGTTCAAAGCAAGGCCATATACATACTGCCTGCCAACCTTAGCTCATTCCAGATCCTGAAGTCCTGCAAGGTCTACGCGAGTTGAACGATGTGTCCGGCTCGCGAGATGATTTTGTCATTTTGCAAAGTCGGTGTTCGGAGTTAGAACTGCAAGTGACCATGTAGGGTTTAGGGTTTAGGGTGGGGCCTGATGTCACCACCTGCCCACGTAAGATCCGTAGTTTCCGGGAACCCGACATAATCGAGCTTGGATCTTCCAGTCAATGTTTGTGTATCCGAGCAACCACCAACAAACCCTTGAGTCCAAAAACAGCACACATGAGATAGAGTAAAGGGTTCAAAAAAATAAAGTAAAATGATTGGGCCCGCCCAAGCTTGGAACACAAACCTGGGGTTGTTGTGCAAAAGCGAGTAACTATGAGTAACCTATCAACAACAGCCAAAGGATGCACCCAGCCTCGCAACAAAAAGCAGTCCATTTCACCGACCGCATGCTGCCAGTCACCGTAATCCACATGTTCGGCCTTTGCAGGCGCATTCCATGTTGGCGATCCTTTCTGTAATTGCCAGGGCCTCAGCAGTGATTCAAGCCACCCAACAAGCATGCCAACAGCTGTCACGGAGAATTTTTACAGCCAGAATGCGGCAGCACAAATTGCTGGACCTGAGATTTGACAGTGGGAATTTGTAAGCATCTTCGTTCTGTGGGTTTGTGGGCTGCTCCATGCACGGAGGTCGCCTACCATTTCGTGAGCGCGAACATGGGTTTAGCCGCCACTTGCGGACTTGGCAGACCTCAAGCAGCAGCAAAAAGGAAACCGTGGTTCGGCCCTCATGTGCCCCGACCGGAAGTGTCACGCGCATCTTACATTAAACAGTTCCTAATTCCAGTGTGTGCACGGCAGCTGGTCAGCAGAGATGAACTCTAGGAATCCAGAGGTCTTTCAAAAGAGACCTCTAGAGGTTGCTTGCGCCACAATGTTTTGCTTGCTGTACCTTCCGTCCCGCTGATGCAGGTCGTGGGTTTGTGTACCTGATTGACAGGGAGCTGGAAGGTTTAGGCATAGACAGGGTTCTGACCTGCGGCCCAATGTTGCCCAAAATTGCAGAGCCGCTGGTTATGTCCACACGCACGTCGACTGAGCATGCCACTATTGCCCCGGAAAGAAGTCCACCACTGGCTGAAGTCGTTCCATTGCTTGCCGAGCTCGGCGTGTAGCAAAGGCATCAGGCGATGTAGGCATGATTAGGCATGTGTAACATTCATTGGCATACATCGGCCATGTTGAGCTGGGCATCATTGCCATCTCAGGCCACATGCTGTCCTGTATTGCTCGTGTGCTCGTCTAATTGCGATCTGAGGTTAAGGGTCAGGAAGCAAGGTTTTCATCCGATTTGATGCTTGGCCGTTGAGGCGGTGGTTGGGTGGGTTTCTTCGGGTTGGTGAGTGTGTTGAAGACACGTTTGGACGTGATGCATTTTTCCAAACCAGCTGCCAGAGTGGTTGAATTCGAAGTTTCGGGTTGCCTTGAACACAAAACTTTTTCTGTGAAGCCGACACACCCCAAATCCGGAAATGCTCGAACCTGTGCCAGGTAAGCACTTCCCAGTCGGAGCATCTGAGGCCCACCGAGGGTCGTCGCAGCAGCAGCAGTGGTGGTAGCAGCAGCAGGAGGAGGAGGATCAGGAGTAGTGGCAGCAGGAGCAGGAGAACGAGCATATAGGAGCACGGAAGAATAAGGAGTGGGTGTAGGAGTCGGAGTCGCTGTCACAGTAGTCACCTTCCATTCCTGTGCAGCTTTTCCCACAGTGTTATCGTTGTCTCAAATTCTCAGCATTCCTGCTGTTGTTCGCAGTTGTTGCCGTGAGCCAGGAGCACACAGAGTCTGCAATGCAGCTCGGGGCCGCCTACGGAGGTGGAGCATCGTGACTCATGTGGGGCGGGGTTTGGGGTTTGGTTGGGAGTTTGGCGAGTTTAGACTTGAGAGGCTCAGAAGGGAATGTCGTTGGTGTGTACAATTATGAGCTTTGGTCACCGAAAGAGTAAGACTTTAGAATCTGAGATGCACTGAGGAAACACTCAGCTTGCTACTTGATTTGCTCCTGGCTGCGAAGGTGTAGAGGCAGTAAAAGTCCGATGGGTTGGTGCTTCTATGGCACTACGTGCTTGTTAGCTCGTACACAGTAGCAAACGTCTTATTTTGGTATGCATGGTCATCGCTATGGACATATGGCAGATTATTGCAAGTCGTTCATTTTGGATCGCATCCGAATGGCCAGGTGCCGGATCATGAGCGCGACCTGCTGGCCAAGCTGCCGCAAGAGCAGTTGCTGCAGGACTTGGGAGAGAAAATCGGAGCGTAGTTCGGGGTGACGTCATCATCCCAGAAAGCTTCTTCAGACTTGACACAGCAGTTCAATCCCAGCACACAGAGTGGCAGGGGGATTTCTACGTGCGAGTTCGGACGTTACCTTCGCTCAACCCACGGTCTGTCATTCATGTGCATTTTTCCGTCTTTACAAGCAAAGCATTAGCCTCTTTAGATTTAGAGGCGTTGGTGCGGGGGTCACACTTTGTCCACACTGCATCCGGGTGCATGCGTGGGGATTAGTGGGCACCCCATGCAGTCGCATGCACGCCTGCACCCTAGCCCCAACCGGAAGCTTCGATGACTTTGGCTGTGAGCTTGCCGGGACTGCGCCTTGTGTGCTGGCCACTGGGGCCAGTAAGCCTCCTAGACCTTAGAGCCATCGAATCGGCTTGTTGTATGAGGTATTGAACATTGATGGTGTCCCGCTTAGCTTCAAATGTCCCGCAGTCGGCTACAGGAAGTGCGCTCGAGCCATGGGTCTGAGGCCGATCTTGTGTTGTGGGATTTGGTGGTCCTAGAACGGTTGATCTTTGAGGAGCGGATGATGCAGGTTCAAGGATCAGAACACAGACGTGTTCTGCTTGTTGTGGGATGTTGGCAGCGGGGTCTCGATTTTCAATAATTAACTGCGAATGAATGTCTAGCCAGGTGCTTTGCATGTGGTTTCTGTGTATCTTTCAGTTCCCGGAGTGGTCGTCCACGGTTCATGTCGATAGGAGTGATCCGTGGTCCTGCTAGGCTTATATTAACTAATTGTCTGTGTGTCGACTTGTTGTATGACCCGCTCTTGCGAGACCACTTCCCCCTTGTTTTTCTTCTGCAGAGTCGGTGAACGAAGCCTGGAGAGGCTCTTCGGTTGTTTTTTTTTTTCAGCGTTTCGACGCGTATGGCGTTCGAGAGAGACTGCTTCAATGAGGCATCGACCGACCTTTTAGGGTCCTTGAACGCACTCGGGTACAGTAGAAAACCTAATGCAAGCAACTCTCCGAGATGTGTTTATCTCAAAGAGTGGGAGGGGGAGGCTCGAGCACATGCAGCCAGGAGCCCTCACCACTGCATCTCCTGGATGTGGAAAGAAAGCTTCTGCTGCTCAGCTCAAGCTTTCTGCAGGGCAACCTTAATCAGGGTTAAGCCCTCGGAGCTCGCACCGTAGGAGATGTGGAGGGTTTGACATTGAATACTTGGGTATTAATGTTTCTTACAATTAGCTGGGACTTCTGCTTGCGAGGTGATAAACGCTTGTTTTAGGGCTGTGTGCTGCTCCCTAGCTGAATCAAGGGCGAGCTGAAGCCTCACACCGCCCGTATATGGGCGCTTGGAGAAGATTGGCCCAGCTGACTTTGCGCGACACTTCTGGTCCGGTGATGATGAGATTGGTTCCCCTGGATCGATGGCGACCGACGGGACTGTGTCTTCTCGCTCTAATACGTGGTTTGGCTCTCACAAAAATGCAAACCGTCGCTGAAGCCGATGTCTTTGTGCCGGCTGGGCCCAGCCTTTGTCGTCAGCGGGTGGTACCGGTCGGACCGGCTACGGCCTGTGTTCCGCTTAGAGAGTGCCTGCTACCCCGAGTACTCAGTGCTCCCTCTTCGCAAGGCTGCTCTTGTGATCTTGCTTCCCATTTTTCTTTGCATGATGTGATTGCATGCCTTCCAAAGAGTTCTCTCTCCAGCTGAGACGGTTCGGAACAAAGAGCTCAGCAAAGAAACGAAGCCCAAGCTTTACAGATCAAGGCGCTGAAACCCCGCTAATACCCGGGCGAACGAACTAATATGGAGTACACGCAAGCGCGACATGTAACCTAGCATACCTAGAGTGTGCCTTCCAGTATCCCTGAAAAGCTTGAATTCGTAGGATCTTTACTGCAAGGCACCACCCAAATAAGCTACCCATCCACTGACTGGTGCTTAGTAGAGAATGGGGGAATGGATTCCTATGATAGTCCCTTAAGGCAGTCCATCACTTGAAATGGCCCTACTGTGCGAAGCAGAAGTGCCGTCGAGGTCTCCGCGGCAGCTCCCGAGAGCTGCCGTCCTTGCGACTCGAAGAAACGACTTGGGGGAGGGTTAGGATGGGACGATGCAGGCTGTAGAGTGTAGGCAGTGTAGGCAGTGTAGGGGTTTGGGAGCTTTGTAGATATTTGGAGGGTTTGGCATTTCAAAGATCGGGAAGCTTGGCATGTGACGGGCGTGGGGGCTTGCAGATGAACCCTAAACCCTAAACCCTAAACCCTAAACCCTAAACCCTAAACCCTAAACCCTATACCCTAAACCAGTTTGTCTTTCGAGACTCCGGAATTGTGGATTTGCGGGTGTGCAGCCGAATCTCCTCGGGTCCGAGGGGTTGGCGGGCTTTTGCCAGGGACGCTTTGGGGTGTGGGTCTGTTGTCGGCGTGACGGGCATATGCTTGAGAAGCCATTCCTCATCGAGTGAGGATAGGGGGGTTAGAGTTTTGCAGGACTGCAAGTGAGCTGAGAGGTTTGAAGCACTGCAAAGGCCCTCGCGAAGTTGACAGTCCGTGGACAATGGATGAACACATTTTGCTTGTGAATCTTCAACTCTAAAGGAGAGACGAAAGGTCAGCAAGTGCTGACTTTTTGTTGCTGGGTCATGCTGCTAAGAGCACAACAATACCGGCAGTGTTTAAAGTTTAAAGATATCTTGTAGCACCTAGCGCAGTTAGTACGGACGACCGGGGACATGACGCGGTGCTGTTTTGTAGCAGCATGAGCACAAGGAAAGAATTGAAAGGTATGCAATCAATGTAATAGTCTGTAAGCACTGCAATTGCAACAGGATGCAGGACAGTTGTGTATAGGTTTTTGATTTTCTGTAGCTTTTTGCGTTGCTGTCGACATGTTGCAGCACGGAAGGACATGTGTGATGAGTTGTCATGACACGTAAGAAGCAGCAATGCAACGTATCAAGGTAACAGCAGCTTGTTGTGCAATAATGGTTTGAGATATATAGGTATACATGTGTATATCTATATATATATATATACATATATATTTTTATATATATACATATACGCATACATACATATGTGTATTCCATGACACATATAGCCCTGCACCATAGTGGACAGTGTACAAAGTACACGCCCTAAGAACATTTCTTGGGATGTGACCCTCAGAAAAGCTGTATTCTGAATGGTATGTCAAATTCAATCATCAGCTCGTGGCACTGTGACACCGTGCAATGGCTCAGAATGTGTTCTTGTGGGTAACGGCACTTAGTAGTCAGCTTAAGCTTTACGTGCAGCGTCCAAGAAGGTACATGTCTACAACCTGACCGAGGCCTTTGCCGGAGCCTCGCTGTCTGGCTTTCTCAGCTTCCTTGACAGCTTGATATTTTTGCATTGGACAGCTTCCGTGAGTGCCAATGCGCGTTGGTTGGGTCGTGCCCACTTCGTTTCAGGACCGCTGTGCGGTGGGGCTTATACTATTGCACTCTCTTTGGTTCTCAACATGCGGGCCGCTCAAGCCTCAAGGGTTTCGATTTGGGGCTTACGGGATTTTAAACTGAAACCCGGGCCCAGAAGAACTCCGCTGTTGAGGAATTCAGGGGCCTCTTTGGATCTTCTGCAACTTTTTGTTGTGTCGCTTTCTGGTTCTGCCGAGGTGAAGGCCAACTCCTGGCTTTCCGTGGCCACACGGGGAAGCGTCGGGGCCTTCCACGTCGGCGTGGAGGCCTCTTGGTTTAGGGTTTAGGGTTTAGGGTTTAGGGTTTAGGGTTTAGGGTTTAGGGTTTAGGGTTTTGAAAGTTTAGTAGGGTCTTAGGGTTGAGAGATGTTTAGGGTTTCGGATTGAGGGTAGTTTTGGACAGGCCTTCAGGGTTTAGGGTTGTGATTCTTTTTGGATTTAGGGTTTAGGGTAGCTTTGAGGGGTTGCCGGTGGCTTTGGGCAGAAAGCACGACATAATCATAAGGGTGCCCGGAGGATTGGCTCTGTGCATACAGAGGGCTTTACCAGGTTGGATCCTGCAAGCTTGGAATGGCAAAAATTGAAGATCATGTTTTGGAATGGGTGCCTTTTGGCAGTCATACTTCAAAAGGTGTTGTCCGCATGCGACTGAGAGAAGGCTGATCTCAGGCAGCCAGAGAAGGGAAAGCGATAACTTACTGTAGGGTGTCCGCATGGTGACTGAGTAGTGTCTCGCGGCCGCCCGCCGGCTTCACGCTCTTTGCACTGTTTGTGCCGGTGCTTGCCAGTCTGCCAGCGAAAAGGTACAACGACCAGGGTAAGGAACGATCTCACCGCGGAATTCATGAGACAGACCGTGCTGGAGAGTCCATGAGAGCTTCTGCATCATGAACCCTATTCTTGGTTCTTGTTCGATCCATAAGCAACACCAATATCACTATGATTGCTATTGTTGTTATTATTCATAACTCTTGTTGTCGTTGTTGTCTTTATCATTATCATAATTGTCTTTGTTGTTATTATTCACAATCATTGTTGTTATGATTATGATTATGATTATTATTACTGTTATTATTATTATTGTTATTATTATTATTATTGTTTTTATTTTATTATTATTACTATAGTATTATGATGATGATTATTATTACTATTATAATTATAATTCTTGTTATTATTATCTATATATATATATATATATACTTATTATTATTAGGGTTCCGGAATAGTTGAAGATTTGGGCTTATAGTGTCTGGGACTTTTGGTCTTTAGGGCTTTGGGGGGTGAGGGTCGAAGGGTTTAGGGTTGAATGAAGGCTTCGGGGCTTCAGGCTTTGGTTTAGGGTTTAGGGTTTAGGGTTTAGGGTTTAGGGTTTAGGGTTTAAGGTTTAAGGTTTAGGGTTTAGGGGTTTCGGGCATCGGAAGGACATTCTGATTGTTCAGGTTAGAAGGGGTGGGGGGGTGGAGAGGTGTTTGGATGCCCTAAACCCTGAAGCCTGAACCCTAAAAAAAAAACCTAAACCCAAAACCCTAAACCGTTGGGTCTGGAGGTTTCAGGTTGGGGGCTTGGATTTAGGGGATTGGCTACCACTATATGCGGGGAAAAAGGCAGGCATCACCAAAAGGGTAGTTCTCTGAGAAAGGGCCCCTTTTAAGGTCCCTCCTGTAAGGTTGGCGTGCTATCTTAGGGACTTAGAAAAGGGGACCCTAAACCCTAAACCCTAAACCCTAAACCCTAAACCCTACCATGATTGGGAGCCTGGCTGAAATTGTGGGCTTCCCTGCCAACTCCTGAAGCCCCTAAAGCCTCCACCCGAAGCTCCAAACCCTAAGCCGTAAGATCTAAAAGTCCAATCTACCCTAAATAACCCCGAAGCAGTGACCCTAAACCCTAAACCCTAAACTCTAAACCCTAAATAACCCCAAAGCAGTGACTGCCAGGCATGCCGAAAGCGGCGCCTTCCCGTTCAGCTGGTGGCGTTTACGAAGGCCCCTTTGGCGTTTGGGGTTTAGGGTGTAGGACTTCGGGTCTAGAGACCTCAGACCCTACCTGAACCCCCCAAAAGCGCCTACCCCTTTAAGGACGGGTTTAGGGTTTAGGGTTTAGGGAAGTCATAATAAGGAACCCTAGCAAAGAGAGGTTTTTAAGCGGTTTCGGGGGTTTCCTTGAGTTTTTAAGGGTTCACGTCAGGACTTTTGAATCAAGGAGTCCCTTGAGTGAAGGGCTCTTTGAGGGCTTTTTGGGCTGCTGTAACGGTAACGTTTTAGGGTCTAACTTTGCGGTTTTTGGGTTAGGATCTAGGCCTTTAGGCTGTAGCCCGGCGGCAGTGCGGCATTTCGAGACGCACTGAGTCCGCAAAACCCACATCATCCTATACCCGAAACCCCAAAGGCGTAGTCCCCACCTGCGGAGACCCTGAACCCCAAAACCCTAAGCCCCAAAACTTCACAACCTGACCCCCCGGACCCTCGACCCCAACCAAGACCCCCAAGCCCGAAAACAGCCCTGAACGCTCCAACAAAGAGCTCTCAAGCCTTGAATGCTAAAGCCACCCAACAAAAGCAAACCACAATACTTGGAGGTTCTTGGGTAGTTGTAAGTGGGGCTATAAGTCCCCTAAGTAGGGCTATAAGTATAGTTACCCTACTTATAACCCCACTTATAACTACCCATGAACTCCAAGTAGAGCTCGAAAGCCTTCCCGCTCACAAAGCCTCAATCCACCCTAGGGCTCTGAAGGCTCTGCTAGTAGAGGGAGCAAGCAACCTTTAGCGGCTGTTAAAGCGGCTGTTATTTCGGGGTACCATGATCATAACCCGTAAAGAATCCCCAAGGTAAAGAATCCCCAAGGTAAACCTTGTTACTGTAGCGTTTAGGGTTCAGGGTTTCGTTCTCCTCAGAAACAACCCCCCAACAAAAGTAACCCCTATAAACCCTGAATCCGTAACCCCTGAATGCTAAACTCCTAAGACTTAAACCCTTAAATGGCTGGACCCTAAGACCTAAACCCGAAGCTAATATAGGGGCCTCAATCACTAGAATAGGGATGCGGGGTGTATTATACCATAATTATAATAAGGAGCCACCAAAACCCCATTCTAATTGTCAGGGCCCCTACATTATACCCTAAACCCTAAACCCTATAAGCCCTAAACCCTATAAACCCTAAACCCTAAACCCGACAAGCCCTGAACCCTAAACCTGAAAAGCCCTAAGCCCCAAAGCAGGTGTCGCTCCAGCCGGGGGAGACGAAAGTTGTCGACCTCGTCGTAGAGCTCCGGGATCTCGCGGTGCGCCAGGGATGGGTTTAGGCTTTAGGCTTTAGGGTTTAGGATTTAGGGTTTAGGGTTCAGGGTTTTAGGGCTTTAGGGTTTAGGGTTTAGGGTTTAAGGTGATGGTAGTAAGGTAGGGGCCTCAATCGTTAGAATAGGGTTTTGGGGCCCATTTTACTATAATTATAACAAGGAGCCTCTAAAGGAATGTAGGTAATCATTTAGTGTAGGGTTCAGGGGTTTCTAAATCCTAAGCCCTAAGTTCAGCGCCCTAAACCTTCAACCCTAGGTTTAGTGTGGTTTGAAAGGGTTTAGGGTTTAGGGTTTAGGGTTTAGGGTTTAGGGTTTCCTAGGGTCTTCTATTACCCTTAGCATCAAAATAGCCCAAAAGCCGTACATAATAGGGTCTTTTGGCCTACTACCCTTAGCATCAAAATAGCCCAAAAGCCGTACATAATAGAGTCTTTTGGCCCGAAAGCCTTAAAATATGAGTCCTTCGAGGGTAAGGGATAGGGTTCAGGGGTTTAGGCTTTCAGCGCTTAGGGCTTTGGGGTTCGGGTTTAGGGCTTGAGGATTTTGGGGGTTTAGGTCATAGGGTGCGTGCTTACAACAATTTTACTTAGTTACAGAGATATGTCATTGTGGTTGTTTAGGAAAATAACGTGATTCTTAGAGGGTGTTTTCAGATTCCACGTGTGCTTGTACAGGTTGAGAAGGTTTCGATGTTAAGGTTTTTGATTGGCAGGTTTAAAGGCATGTGCAGGGTTTCGGGACCCTAAACCCTAAACCCTAAACCCTAAACCCTAAACCCTAAACCCTAAACCGTAAAGGGTGACAGGTTCTGTTTTCGGTTTTAGGGCTCGGGTTTGGGGCTTGGCTTGCCGGGTGCCGGGCTTAGACCCTTTAGGGTACAGTCTTCGCATCCGAAAACTTGGTCTACTATGGCATGCCTATAGTCTCCATTGTAGTTCCTTTTTGGGGATACCTTATAAAATCCTTAATATATACTTGGTTAAACCAACAAAAGGAACTACAATGGAGACTACAGGTGTAATTCAGTTACTATAGAAGGGAAGCCTTGCTAGTGATAGATATCTGCCTGTTGCCTCAATTTACTCTGAGGGACGAAGTGCCCGGAAATTTGCTCCCCCCCAACCTCTACGCCAGTACCTGGTGAGTAGCTTTTTGGATCCGCAAGGGTATAAGATAAACCCTAAACCCTAAACCCCAAACCCTAAACCCTAAACTGGCCCTAAACCCCAAACCCTAAACCCTAAACCTTAATGTACGAGAGCCAACCTCTCCCGAGAACCGCACTCGACCACTCGACCCGGGCAGGCGTATGACGTCCAGGCGCGGCGTAGTCCTCAAGTGCTGTTTCTGAACGAAGGCAGAGATCCCGGGCGCAGCGCCTAACAGTTGGGAAGTATCATCCCCACCAGGTCAGAAGAGGTAGACGAATCTAAGCACATGACATTTTTGATGTTGAAAAGTTGGGGGTAATTTGCTTTGGTCCGGGAAAGGGGACAGAGATCGATGATGCGGGTCTCTAGCGGAGAAGACACAGAAGCCAGACAGTATGTGAAGGACTGTACAAGTTGCAAAGCATGGCATGGTGTTACAGATCTACAAGGTACGGCTGCCATACATACATACGTAGGTGTGTAAAGTTATGTCCTCACTTTCTTTTAGAGTACCGATCTCTGCTTGCTATGTATATCGCCTAGCCCACACACCGTGCAAAATGGTGGTGACTTTCGCTCGTGTTCCTGCACCTCAGACTATTACCATCACCAATATCACACCCACTCCACTAGATAGGACAGGAATTGCCACCGCCGCCACCACCACCACCACCACCAGCAACGCCAACTGCTACATTAATGCTACGCAGTCAACAGGAAGGATGTGATGATGGCATCTGAGTGGTCGTAACGAGCTGAGCCGTACAGGCGAGGCCCTGCCCTCCATGCTAAGTAACTCCTCAACTCCCCCTTATTCTAAGCCCACGACCTGAAACCCCCCAACCTAAACTCCAAACTATAAATGCCCCTTAATCCCGAACTCCAGCCTTTATTCTAAGCCCACAGCCTGAACC